ATGTTTTGTACATCAGCTAGCATACTAATGGGGGTTAGAAAATAGCAACAGCAGTAGAATAAAATCAACGGAGTGACATTTAAAAATCATTGCAAAGGAATGTTCTCAGTGCTGCTGTCTTGTTTGCTTCAAGCTGCAGCATCAGGGCAAAGAGCCCATATAAAGCAGCAAAGAAGGGGGGATGCTCAAGAAAGCTGTCTGGTCACTTTGCTGAGGATTTTTAAGACCAACAGTAGAACCTTGAAATCTTGTTTTCTGATTTCAGTGTAAAAATACGCTGTTGACTACACTCCTTCCTCACTCGGGAACTGCACCACAGCTAAGCTATATGAAATACTCCCAAGTTGCAAACTGCACAAAGAGAAAAATGCATTTCTTTTGCCATATGTTTTATTTTGAAACCTCAAAGATTTTGTGAGTGGGTTTGCAAAAGCACAACTGAGATCAAGTTGGGGTAATCAGCCTGATTCTTCCTATCCTTGTGCCTTGAGAGAAAATGTAATCTGCTAAAATATTATACTCATTTTATTTGGACACTATAATATGCAAAAGCACTGGAAGAGCAGAGCCAGTAGTCCCAGTTCTTATATTGTATCTAAGAAAATCAGGACTAACTAAATTAAATTCCTCGGCCCATTTTTAAAATACAAAATACATGTCTGATCTCCGTCTGAAGTTTCTGTACTAAAAAAAATTGCCAACTAAAAATGCCTACTGAAGAAAACACTGGCACCTGATCCAAGGGGAAGTAATGACTGCATAACTGATGTGGAATGATAATAGAGTATACCCATGGAAATGACTGCAAAGTTAATCTTAAAAATCAAATAACTTAATTATAATCCCAGTGATTTTGATTAAAATCAACTTGAAAAGAATGTCTAATGATTTGGTACTGATGTTACTTCAATTAGTGGAAAAGTGTAAGAAACAAAAGGAATAAAATACTTTTAATCTTAAAAAAGGAGAGCTTCCTGGGGTGTGAGGAAGATGTACACACACTGTAACCATGATAAAGCTTCTGTGTGAGGAGTAATGAGTTAGTGAACCTTTTTCAAGTACAACACTTCTGGTTTTAAAGCTAATATTTGCCTTGTAGTAACAGAGTTTCACTGTCACGACAAAGTGTGTGTTTCTATTGCTCGGTGTATGCTACAGCCACAGCCAGTGCACATAACTGAACAGGTGGCTATCTTTCCATTGCCTTTTCAAGCATGATCTATGACAATAAATCACTTTTAGGACACTGGTTGGCACAGGGGATTGACCAAATTCTGCTAAGGCCTGTTTTCCCTGTCAATGCCATTTATAACGTAGCCTTCACTCAGTGGTGCCTGAAAACTATTCTGATTTTACCCAAGGCAAGAGTCTGGAGCTGAAATTCCACGTGACTACAACTGGTTGGAGAATTACAATGGATTCAGATTGCCTCTTCTTTTTTCAATGTTTTTTTCTACAGCCCTGACATAATCTAAAGTCTCATGCAAGAGTTTTAGGCAAGAGGCAAAAATATGCCATGCAAATATCTATCTAGAAACCAATTCTTCTGGGAGCTTTCAGTGTATTTCATTCAGCCTATAAATACAGATAAAATCAGAGGAACTAACCAACAGCTGGCAGATATAATCTCATTACCTTTGTTATTGAAGGTACTTACAATAGTTAAATCACCAATCCTAGTGATCCATTAATTCTCCAGCCTTCTGGCACAAGGGGGACTTGGTTTCACCAAATATGATTGTCCTAAACTGAAATACCATTGCAAAGGTGATGACATATTTTTCTGCTGTGGTATTGATGGTAAACAAGATACTCAGCTCTCCCTCAAGAAGGCAAGAGTTCTCAGCGTGCCAGAAAACACACAGCAACATATAGTAACAGAAGAAGAGCAAATGAAACCACATTTATGTGATATTCTAACACTCTCAAGAAATAGAAGACAAACTTGGATTAATCCCATATCTTATGTAGAGAAATCTCATTTTAATATTCAGCTGAAGAGAAAAAATAATTCAGTAAAAACATATAATGCCTAACATAATGCCTTTCATATTTAATGCTTCACAGCATTAACACCCCATTGGTTGAAAGCTATGAATTGCTAAAATCTGTCTTGAAATGCAAGTAACCAAATGATAATATGAATATGGTCCCAGAGAGAGACAGGCAACATGTGGTACATAGCTGCTTCCAGCACTTTTGAGGTATTATCTGGGGGGGAAAAAAGCATACGTAATTTAGAATTATGAAGAATGATTATGAAAAAGAGGTGAAAAAGTGAGACCAGGACTGACTATAAAGAGAAGATGAATTCCTACAAATCTGGCATTCAGTGATAAACATCCTGTACTCTACAGCAAAGTGCTCTGAAAAACTTATGTGTGAAAAAACAGAAAGATAACTCCTACTTTAACTGAGATAAAGATAGATGTGAATTTAAACTCCACATAGTTAATATCTATATTGTTAAAGGTAGGGTTTATTAGTATGTTTCAATTTAACAGTAATTTAAATACGAAATGTTTACTTTGAATACTGCAGTCCTGAGCTACAACCAAAATTTGTTTTTCTAATTCTGCAGCAGAATCCACCCACTCTTACTAGATGAGTGTGTTCCACAGCCCAAGCTTCTGTTAAAAAAATTCTCTGGTCCTTGTAACTGCAAAGATAGATAACTTCCAAAACGTGAACTGGTTATAAGCAAAGAATCTGCCCAAATAAGAAGATGGCCTGGCAGAACTGGTCTGCAAGAAAGTAAACTCTGAAAATAACAATTCAAAATTCTATTGATTTAATCATATTCCAAACAATATAATCCTTGTGCAGTTTTAACTGAAAAAATGTTAAAAATATATGATTCATAGGTTGTATTTATCCTTGAAAGAACACAACTAATTCTTGAATGCAGAATGTGGTGGCACCAGTCCTTGAACATCTGTGCATATGAAAGTATTATTCCTTGTTCTCTCTTCCATTTTGTGCTCTTGTCCAGGGACAGCCCCTGTGTGTGTGGCACATCACACACACTGTATCTATTGGAAACGCTTGTTGTGCCACCAATATACCTACATCTCATGCACTTGAAAATAAAACTGTTGTGAAGTTTAAATCTATTTTAGTTCCATAAAACAGTGCCAGGTCTGCATCTGACCATCTTCAAAAATTCACCCAAATTAGGTTTTCGTGAAGCTTTCAGAAGCTTAGGTTTAGCTTATATTTGTTATTCCATAGTGTATAATTTGCTGTCTTTGAAGCAAATAAAAACATTCCCAAATTTAAACAGTACCATCAAAATATTCTGTGTTCTAGCCTTTGTTCAGTAAGACTTAATATAAATCTAATGACTGCACAGTAGTACTAATTAGTTAATTATTTACAAGTGCATGTAGTGATAGGACAAGGGGTAATGGTTTTATTCTGAAAGAGGGAAGATTTAGATTAGATATTAAGAAAAAATTCTTCACTATGAGGGTGGTAAGACACTGGCACAGGTTGCCCAGAGAAGTTGTGGCTGCCCCATCCCTGGCAGTGTTCAAGGCCAGCTTGGATGGGCTTTGAGCAACCTGCTGTAGTGAAAGGTGTCACTGCCAATAGCAGGGGGGCTGGAACTACATGATCGTTAAGGTTCCTTTCAACCCAAACCATTCTATGTTTCGATGAATTATCCAGATTGCCAGACATTTTTCCAAATAATCCAGATTAAATATCCACAATTACTATTACTACCTTTAAAAATGTGGACAAAACATCCTAGTGGATGTTTTGGCATCCTAGTTACATCCACCAGTTACGTATCTGGCTTAAAAACTTGATACTTTAATTTAAAATCTAATGCTTTAAATTGCACAACCACTTCAACAGAAGTTGATAAGAGCGTAAGAACTGCTGGCATTTCTTACACAAAGAACTCGTTTTATGTCTTACTCAGTATCCTACACCTTTTAAAATCTCAGTAGCAGAGACATGGGAAGATTAAAAAAGCAGTAGTGCAAGAGTGACTCTTCCCTCTTCTTCAAAAGAACTAATCACAGTGACTGTGAGATCCTTTTCTTGAGTGGAATCAGAAAAATTAGAGCTCAGTATTTTGTATGGTCTTAATTTTTCACTTATTACATTTTATTTACACTGAATTTAATCTGTAAAGGGAGACCTTCTGTGACTCTGCAGTCATTTGAGATTTTACTATCCTTCATAATTTGGTATCCTGTATTTTGAATGTATACTTGTTCAAAGCTTTAACAGTTACAGATGTAAAGACTACTGTTTACATGCTAATCATTCACAACTATTCACATGAATCAACGCATTCATATTTGTCATATAAATGCCTCCCTGGGTATACTAACCTATAAACGCGTTCATATTTTTTATATAAATGCCTCCCTGGGTATACTAACCTAAACCCAGCCACTCATGTCTTTCCTAAATGGATGCTTTTCTGTTGCCTTGTACTACAGGCTGGATGTACATGTGATGCTAGTCCTTTAAAAAATAATGTGGAACAAATTATGTATGTACAATATTTTCTCCACACATTCAAGGATCTAGCAGTGAATACTGTCATGAGTTACATAGTGGTACATTTACAATGACAAGAATCTACTTGTGTGCAGCATGAGAATTTGGCTCTGAAGTATTTCATTATAAACTGTGAGTTATGCTTGTACTGCTTGGTTCTGGGCTATGATAAGTGCAACTGTTTATGACAGGCTTGAGTTAGATTTTCATTATTCAGTACTAGTGGCTGAAGCACAATAATAAAAATGTTTTAACAATACAAGTTAGGACTCAAACTGTACAAGGTCAACACCTAAGTTTAAACTTTCACCCTCTTATGCTTCTATAGTAGCAATTTCTTCTTGGATTCATGGTACTAAGGATATGCTTGAGCTATGGAGAATTCAAGGTAACAATGGCTGTGGCTAAGAAAAGAAATAATTACAGTGGTTACATACTTGGTAAGTTACACATATTCTGATTATTTTATATCTTCTCTTTAGCTCCTTGCTCAGAAGTGGCCCTTTGGAGATTCTGAATTTGGACAGTTTCTTTGCAAATTCCTGCCCTTTATACAGAAGGCATCGGTGGGAATCACAGTCCTTAACCTCTGTGCCCTTAGTGTGGACAGGTACAGTATGATTTACCCTTTTGATAGACACTGTTCTTGCCCTTGCAGTTTTCCTAAAACTGGGAGCAGTTGATATGGTCTTCTTAGCAGGCAAACAGTACAGATGTAACTTACATTCTGCTTTTGATATCCTGGCTATAACAAAGCACCACATCTGTGGCTCAAAGTATAAATGAAGCCATTGGACTAATCATCTTTACAGGTTTTTAAAGGTATTAAAAAGCTCCAGTAAAGCATTATTTCAATTTCCTTTACCAGACAATAATTTATTGGGATTTGATACAGCATTCAGACTTCTTTCTTTCATATCACCTCATGTTTCTTCTGTATTTGAATGGGATCATGATCTTTAGTCTTAAAAATACCTTTTTCAACTCACTGCCTATGGACCATAAATACAGTATTTATTGTGATAGCTTTTATAACTAATTAACTTCTATTGAAAAGCATGTTGGAAACTTGCTTTGACAGTTTGAAAATTAATTCCTCTGCTAAAAGTGCTCATCCATAAACTTTCTGAGAGAACAATAGCTAAGATGCTTTTGAACATTATTCCCTTATGCTTTTATCTTCATACTTATAAGGCAATAGCAGATGAAGACTTCGCTTCTGTAAAAGCTATTATTATTGGTCTTGAGTTTACTCGATCACATTCTAGTCCAAAATAATTCTGATACAGAAAAATATTGATAAATAAAATGCATCACATGTATTAGTACAGTGATGCAAAGGTAAAAGAAACTTTAAAAGTAATCTTGGTTTGGTTTTACATAACAAGTTGATGTACAAGGTTTGCAACAGATGAGTAACTTAGTAGCATCAATACACGAAATAAGTTCCTTATTGCATTAGTACTCATTCGCTGAAGCCAGAAACAAATACTTTAACAAAGACAAGTGTTCTATTTCCGTTATGCAGTCTGAGAAATAAAAAAGAATCCTATTTCTCAAACAATATCTGCCCATCATAAAATACAATCCCATGGACTGCTCTAAGGAATAAATCATAGATAAAGCACATATGAAAAAGTGAGTTTGTTAGGTAAGTTCTGACCAATGCAGTCTCACTAGATTTATTCCTACTGTTACATGTATTTTCAAAAATTGGAAGTAACTCAGCTGAAGCCACCTCTTTATATGCATATATATATTTTTACAAGCACTGATTTGTTAAGCCTCACAATAACCAAATGGTTTTTCCATTTGAATGAAGTCTTGTATGGGATCAGACTCAGACTACTTAATTTCCTCCCCCAGTTTACACACTTTGACAAGGATATTTGCTTTATTATCCAGTACTATTCTAGTAAATATTAGTGTTTGTTAGAAAACAGACATATACAGCCAGATTCTAATATTTACTAATATGAAGTGAATCTAGGTTAAATGACCATGAAATCACGATCTGAGAGCACCTTCAACAAGTTAGGTCATGCACTGGGAGTGGCATGGTCATATTAATACAAAATTCCACATCAGCTAATGTTTGCTTTTTAGTATGGAAAATGAGTAAACATGGAATTGTGTGCTGTTGCAGCTAGACTGTTTCTGGTCTACAGGCGAGTCATTTTTTTCTTCAAAAAGCTCCTCAAAACTCATCTAGAATCTCATTTATAATAATTTTACATATTTCCATAGATTTCTTTATATATTTTATATATTATAATAATTT